TCACACATTGATCACTTAGAAAATACTGGTTCACAGAGTTGAGGATCTTCAAATACCGACACATTTCATTATATATTAATAATAAAAAGCATATTCATTAACATTACCAATAAGATCAGAAAAAATCTTAAATATTGGGAAGCTGTCAAGAGCACAGTGGCTGATAAAAGTTTTCCAAAATTCTCATTTTCACTTGAAAACTAGAACTTTGTCATTGACCATAAATACTGTCAATCTTTTCCTGAAAGCAATAGGCTCACTTTACTTTTGAGAAAATGTCAGCCTAATACTCAAGTCTGAATAACCATAGTTCGTCAGACATTCTTTCAAGTAAAAATGGTGCTCAGGAAAAAACTGGCTGGTTCAGCTTGCAACTCAAACAATCACACAAACGCTTTTCCTAGACACAACCATTAGACTTCAGCATGGCAGCAGAAGTGTGTTAAGCGTACTTCCTGTTTTGTCACAGTATATTAAAGTGATGTGTACCAGAGTTGAGATTTGACTTAAAAAATGTTTACTTCTTCATCAAGTGCATTCAGGTGAATGCTTTTGTTTTCTTAAAACTGTGAGTGCATGGCAACGATTACTAATACAGTGTGGCACTCTGATTTGTTTTAAAGTGCAAGAAGTTTTACCCACCACTGCTTTTATGGTATTGGTACAAATGTCAACAGAGTGAAAAAGGCAAAGAACATACTGTATTATCACTTACAGTATTATTGTAAAAACAGTTTTGTACTTGCAGACTCCTTGAAAATGTGTAGCGATCCTGAGAATTCCTTGGACCATACTTTGAAAACCACTGAGTTAGATAATTTATTTGTTAAGCTGTTCACATCACAATTATTCTTTCTTAGTCTTCATTCATACCTCACTGGGAAGCTTAAAAATCAAATAACCAAATCAACTTCAATCAGGAGTAGCAATGCTACAGGGGAATAGAAGCTTTATAATAAAGAACGAGAACTAATACCACATTAGTATATCCTTTTATAAACATTAACAAATAATGCTCCATTTAATCCTCAACAATTCTAAGTAGTGCATGTCATCTTTCCCATGGAGGAAAGCTTCAGAAAGGGAAGCACAAATTCTGCCTAAAAATTCATTGTCCTGGTGGGATTACAAAGTTGTATTAATTTTCTTCTTTATACTTTTCTGTATTCTAAACACTGTAATAAGAAAATTAAAAAGACAAAACATTTGAAAACTCAGCCAGTGTTACCAAGATAAACAAATGTAGTGTTGTATCTCAAGCTGACAACTTCAAGAGCAGTAGAACAAAATAGTAGATACATACATTTATATAACCTCATTGCTATCCCTCTTTATTATCTGTACGGTACAGAATTCAAGATTCTTGAGGGACTTCTGAGTTTTGCTATTGTTACTGAGGAGCTTTATGATAACTTATAAATCTTAGAAGCAGCAGCTCTAACGATATTAGCATAATGTAGTAGTAATATTCTCACTGCAACCTTAAAACACAAGGTAACAGTCGGATGCAATAGGGATACCACTGTGACACCTAAAAACTATTAAACGAAAAGAGCTTATATTTATAGTCTTTATTTTATTGATACCCTCAGTCCTATTAACTAAGAACTTTTAGAAAGTCCTCTACTTTTTTAAAGAATGAAGTGACTTAAAAATATATTCTAATGAGAAGGATAAATTTTAGAAGACACAGATAATTAGAATTTTATTTTACGTAACATTTTCCACTTCCTCTCCAGAAGCTTTTGCCAAAAACTGCTATTAAATGGACAAAACAGATTTTCTTTCATCTTTTTTTCCTTCCCACAAGGGAAAGAGGAGGAAAGCAACAGGTAGAGGTCATCCACCAATGGGGCAATCAGTTCACTGTATATTTTTAAAACAAAATTACTTAATGAAATGCTAAGTTTTAAATATAGGAGGGAAAAAAATCTGTTTTATTGAAAGTACTTATTTACTGAAATAAATTTCCAAAGCAACTACTGAAGAACTCATCAAGGAGCTCTGTGACGCAATAAAAGTGATGATTCCAAGAAGTCAATAATTTAGTTATCAAAATTATTCATAACTGCCTTTAATAGATGCTCTCTTCCTTTAACATCTTTATTCAGTCTACTTGTACAACAGTCAAAAACATTCAATCCCCAACCACTGGAAAAGATTACCTAGCAAGTTATCTCATAAGATCAGAATCCAGTTTAAATGAAAAAGGTTTTGTTGAGAGAGAGATATAGATATATATATTAGCCTAACTACAAAATTATAAAACAGCGTAACTATAAGAGTAAGCTTTAGGACCCAGCTCAATGTAAAATCCAAAATCAGAACATTAGATTATTACTCTCTATGGTCAGAGGGACTAGGATTCTTAATTTAAAAGTGAACCTATTTCTAGTACTTGAGCACCTCATACACAAACAATCTCAAGCGTAGTAATACTCCAGAATATTGTTCTGTATAATAAAAACCAGATGGAAATCCTGCAGTTCATGTTACAAATATTTTTTCTTTTGATAAGTGATTTAAATATTATTTTAAACCTGGTACATTTCCCTAAATTTACATTTCTTTCTTTTATAAGTTTTAAGGCTCCTTGGAAACAGAGCTTGAAAAATTTTGATCCTCCATTGATGCAAAGCAAAAATTTTTTCTAAATCGCTATTGAAAGAATAATCAGTTGCTGTGTACCTTTAATCTGAATAACATTAGGAATAAACACACTAGTGTTAGGAAGTATGGAGAAGTAGTATTCTTTGTTAGTGGTGCGTTTTAAAAAGTGATTTTAATTTTTAAAAGGCAGCACAAAACTTCCTTGTAACTTTTCCTCTTTAAAATAGAAATTCTATAACGAAAGGCCTTGGTCTCAGATCCAGTGCTCAACTAGATCCAAACGAGGTACAACAGATTGTACAGCAAGCCAGTCTTTACTGCAAATGGATAAACTCACTCTGTTCTTTGTGGCTACTGCTTCCATTGCGTTCATGAGATTTCCAAAGAACTAGTAAACTAAAAAGACGTAAGTCCTCCAATGGTAATTAGTACCTTTCAATACTGCTGCAATATACCTAAGAACACTGAAAAACATCAGGCTTTCAGCAAGGGTAAGCCATGGCACAGTACTCCTGTTTACTGAAAAATTTGTCCAATGTTATAATGAATCATTGCATCAGCCAAAATAGCTGTTTCTTAACTTTTTCTAAAAGAAATTCAATTTGCATAGGCTAACAGCAAAAACTTCAGCCTAATCTCTGAGGCCATGGAATCCTCAAAAATGATGGGAGGGAAAACCAACCAACCAACCAAGGCATGCATATAGTCACAACCTTATATGGTCTTACACACAAGGTTTAAGAGAGATCAATCTTTATCAAGTTCTTCTACAGTCTGAACATGTGACATCACTGCAGTAACAAAAAAAAGCTTTTGAACATTCAGTTCATAAAAACTAAACTATTCCTGGTGCCAGTCAAATCTAGACACTACAGATCAATACCCACCCTCTTTATCACATACACAGGAACACATTTAAGTCTTTAGGAAAATGACGCGCATATCAGTAAGATTCCAATATTCAATAATAAAATTATTTAAACTAGTTTTGGAAAAAAATAAACGACACCTTTGTAAAATCAGCCAAATTCTGTGTCAAATCCAGTTTTGCTGATTTCACTCCCTTAACAAATATTTATGAAGTAGCTATAACAAGTCAAAGAAAACTGAACATGAGCACTTTCTCACCCAAATCTTAGACTTTATATTTAAAAAAACATGTATAATTAGTTACCATGTTGTTGATCTCTGCATAAGCCTTCTACCAATCTTGAATCACACTGGAAAACACACTTGATAAGATCCTTATGGACATTCATCAAGGTTTTTTACCATCAACTCTTCATTTCATCTCCCTGGAGCCTCCTTACGTGGTGGCTCCTTACCATGGGGACTCACTTAGCTAAGTACTGGAATTCTACAGTAAAGGATGGTTTTGAGGATAAAATGAAAATCAATTTCTCAAGTTAAAAAGATTCCAAAGTCAACGTGGGTATGTTTCTTTTTGAAGGAATATCAAGTTCTTTTGAAATATCTTCTCTAAATCTTCAATGCAGTTAATCTCTAAAGGTAAACGCTCAACACCATGTGCACAGGCAAGGGTCTAGGAACGAAGATACAGTGGAGAAGGAAACGGATTGAGTCCCTACCGTCGTGGTGCTTGCACTCAACAAACTGGTACCATTTGCAAGGAGGGCACCATACCAGTGCTCCGGGGCATACAAAGAACACATCTGGTCGTTGGACTCCACAATTTGATGGAATAGATGACAAAAATACTTCTAATGATAACAGAAGGCAGGAAGTGATATGTGCCATAGAAAGGAAGAGAGAGGACTTTTATGGGGTGGGCTACGGGGAGAAGGCAAAAGACAGAGCAGTCATTTTCACGCCCTACACCACATTTTCAAATTAAGCAAGTTTATTATTGGGCTCTTCAGTTGTATTATGAGACCCGGCACATTAAAACCAAACTGGCTACGTGTGTTTCAAAGATTTACTTTGGGGCTTCCTCTGATGAGGCAGCCTCACAATGTGTGAATACCAACCAAGAAAACGCAAGTGAAAACACCATGTAGGGCACAGAGTAAAAAGGGGATGAGCTGAAATGAGACCATCATTCAGGGCTCCGAGTCCTGAGAGTTATTTAACCTCCCGGAGTATCAATTTCCTCTCCTAAAACCCGGCAACGAAACCACCCGAGTTTTCCACTGTTTGACCAAGGTACCCACCTTTTCTGGGTATGACGGAAAACTATCCTCTGTACAATGTAATTCACGATAAAAACGTCGTATTTCTTTCTCCGGGTTGTCTACTACGGATAGACTACCGTCCTAAAAGTCGGCCACGAACTAGTTATCTTATCTTTCCGGGGCCTCAGTGTCCTCCTGCATAAAATCAGAGGGTGGGACTGGATGATCGAAACAGTCCTTTCCGGCCCTTCAAACGTCCCAGGACTCCATTATGACTCAAACACTACTCAAGAGAGAGCTTTCAGCAGCGATCTGAGCTCCAAGTCCAACTGTCTCCCTTTTTTCTAAGTTATTCTTGCTGAGATAAGGTTTTATCGAGCAAGTCCAAACAGCATTCTAATTACAAAAAAGAAGAGGGTTAAAAAATCAATTCATGAGTCAGAAGCTTTAAGGGAGAAGCACTCGATACATATTAGATGCTACCAGCAAAACAAAAATCCAGCTAGGCTGCATCGACTTTAAAACGCTAAAACCACAATCTTCACTTAGCGTCAACTTCCTACCCGGTTCAAAACGCGATTTCCCGTTACTGCGAAGCCGACTCGCTCGTGTTCCTCCCAGCCGAAGAGTTGCAGGCGAAATGTTTTTCTAAACTAACGGGGGGCGGGGGCAGGCGAAGGGGAAGCACACGAGCTGCCCGAGCGCGAGCCCCGGCTCCGCTCCGCAGGCCAGTGTGCTCGGAAGCGGAGCCCGGATGGCCGGGTCCCGGGGCCTCGCGGCCGCCGCCCACGCTGACAGCCCGCGCCGGACGGGGCTCGCCGCGGCGGCGCGGCCAACTTCCCGAGCCGTCGCCCGGGGCGAGTCCCGCGGCGCCGAGGCCCGGCCGTCCCCGGCGCCGCCCAGGTGGGGCCGCCCGCGCCCCGGCCAACTTTCCCGCGGGCGCCCCGCGGCAGGGGCGCGGCCCGCGGCGGCCGCAGGACAACTTTCCGGTTTCCGTTCCAACTTGCGCCCACCCGGAGGCCGGGGCGGCGGGCGGCGGGCGGGCGGAGCCGCGCCGGGCGGGGGGGTCCCCGGCCCGCGCCCTCCGCCATGTTCCCGGCGCCCGACCCGTCCGCCGCGCGGCGCCCCCGCCCGAGCCCCGGAGGCCGCGCCCGCCCCACCTGCCGCGCCGAGGGCGCCTCCGCGGCCTGCCCGCCGCCCCGCCGCCCCCGCCGCCCCCGCGCGCCCGCCGCCCGCGCGCGCCGCCCACCTCGCCCGCTGCCTCCGCGCCCCGCCGCGCCCCGCGCTGCTCCGCGCCGCTGCCCCGGCGCCACGGCGTCCGCTCCGCCGCCGCTCCGGCCCCTCACACGCCGACTCCGGGCGAGGTTTGGCGGCGGCGCCCTGACGTCAGGCGCTCGGCCTCGCTCCCGCTTCCGTCCGCGGGAGGGGCGGTGGCGCGCCGGGAAGGGCGGGGCCGGGGCGGGGCGCCGGGAGGGGCGGGGCCAGCGCGGCGCTGCCTCCCGCGGCCGCCGGCACGGGTCTCGCCTCGGCCCGGGCTCCGCGCGCGCTCGCGAGGCCGGCGGGCTCCGGGCCTCGGGACCCTCCGGCGCGGCGAGGTGCCTGTCACGCGCCGCAGAGCGCTCGGCGACGCCGCCGGCAGTGGGTGCGCGCGGTCCTTTGTGCTGGGAAGCGGCCGGGCCCGTGGCGGGGCGCGTGTCCATTCCCAGGGCCCCCGCCCACGGGCCTGGGCCGCGGCTCCTTCTCGTTCTTGAAATGGGTTTTCTCTTGAGTTGACACGGGTCCCAGCCACTGATGTCTTAACCCGGCGAACCCTTTCCAAATTACCCTGCCAAACTCGGCTGACAAATCGGTGATCCCAAACAACTTCGTTCCAGGATCAGCTATTTACATGAATAAAGCAAGTTGCATATTTAATGCCTGACTCCGGCGCTTTAAAAGGTTACTCATAGGTAGATTTATGATGTGACTACTGGGCAACGGAAAGCACCTTCTGTTCCAAAAGGGGCGGGCCGTCAATAAGGGAACTTACCGTTATTAGACTAAAATACAGCTCTCTTAGTACAAGATACTAGCTTCTTTATGAAAGCTTTTTTTTTATGAGGTTTTGATGGGCGAAGAGATTCAAAGAGCGAGCAAAGTGCAAGGAAAAGTAGGTGGTGGGGGTCGTTGAAGAACGACTTTCCCTCCGTTCATAGTTTAATGGGGCCCTGTATAGATAATTCTTGAAATAACTTTTTTGAACTTTGATAAATTTGGGAGATTAATGAAAAGTATGGTTAACTTCACTCCTCTTAAGAACACTAGTAATAGAAAACTAATGTAAGTTAAAGGAAGAGAGAAGAATGAATTACAATTATCCTCCGTTTTGCATAAGCGCCTTCTAGGTGTTACACAATTTAGGTTAATTGAATATGTTACATATTTTGGAAATTTCTGTTTCCTTAGAAAACCCTTTTTTAATGGAAATATCAAAGGCAAATTTCAGAGCAGTCTGTAGGAATTATTATAAATTCTGAATGAATGAATTTTAAATAATTTGACTTTACTGACCTCTCAGTTATTGCAGGAAACTTTGGGAAATCTGAAAGCCTGAAACACTGAGTTCACGGAAGCAGCTGTTACCTGGGTGTGCTGTATTTTTCCTTTTCTTTCTTTTTCTTGTTTCTTTTCTTAACTTTCTTTGACGTTTGGGCAATTGATTTTTCCCCCCCAGAAAGAGTCAGTTTTAGAAGATTGAAGGTAGGATTATTTAGAGTTTGAGAGAATGTGTAAAATAGTTTATTTTAGTTAAAAATGCATTTGTTATCTTCTACTAGACTGCAAATCGTTAACTTGTAAGCAGAATGCCAGAATCTGCATCTCTTTGCACTGATCTCACTTTTGAGTTTAAGCCCCTTGTTCCTTTCTCCTTGAAATCGTCGCCAGGATATTCTGCTGGCAACTTGAACTGGTGATGTGTGCAAACTGAACTCATTGTCTTTGTCACCAAACCAGTTTCTTCTCCTTTTCTTTTGTTAATTTTATCACCATCTTTTGAATTACCCAGTCTTCAAGCCTGACTCTCCTTTTTCTGCCTTTTTTTGAACCATCAGTCAATTGGCACATCTGTTAGATAGTAATTAATTCCTACTAAGACCACACTTATTGAGGTTGGCACTACCTCTCAATTCCAGAATGTTAGCTGCTCCTTCCTACCTTGCCTTGTAGCTTCTAGTCTGTTCCTGCTGTGATCCATTCTACACATTGTTGCCAGATAAATTATCTTGAAGCACGCTGAGTAAGTCATTCTCTTCCCCAGCCCTACCAGAATAAAGTTAAAATCCTTGAGTCTAGTTACTTTTCCCTTTCCCTTGAAGTTGCCTGACAGTCAGAGTGGACTTTTCATCTTGCACAAATATGGCAGCACTTCTCTGCTTCTCTGGTGTGAGAGGTGATTTCCTCTGCCCGGAAGCCCCTTCTGACCCCTGCCCATTGTTCAAGGTCCATTTACTTTCCCCAAGAAAGAGCATCTTCTCAGATATTTCCAATCTCATGTGGTCTCTTCTCTTTGGAATCCCCATAACACTCGATTGTTCCTTTCTTTTGTCGCTTGTTTCCTACATCCCTGCTAGAACAGGGGTTTGCAAACTTTTTCTGTGAAGAGCCAGATAGTATTTAAAGTGTTGTGGGCCAGATGGTCTTTGTTGAACTACTCAACCCTGCCTTTGTTGTGCAGAAACAGCCATAGGATGCATAAAGAATGAATGTGGCTGTTTCTAATAAAACTTTATGGACAGTAAAATTTGAATTTCATATAATTTTTACATGTCACAAATATTCTTCTTTTTTTTTTTAACCATTTAAGAATATGAAAACCATTCTTAACTCCTGGCTGTGCAATAACAGGCAGTGGGCTGGATTCAGCCCCAGGCCATTGTTTGCCCTGCTGTACTCAGGGCCCGTTCCGTGGGCATGTGACAGGGCCTTGTGCTTAGAAAGGCCCACGATCAGTTTAATGCTCTGATGTCACCATCTTGAAATTTTAAATAATTTTTGAACAGGAAGCCTGCATTTTCATTTTGCACTGGGTCCCTCAAATTATGCAGCCAGTCCTGCCTATTCTGTAGATAAAATCCATAAGGTCAGGATGTGTATTTCTTGTGTTTGGCATGGTGCTTTTCACATAATAGGCATTCACAATGTGTTTGTTGAATTTTTTATTCCTAAGGTACTGTGGAATAATGGAGAACACGGAGAGTCCACCACTTATTAGCTGTGTGGCCTTAGGCAAATTCCTTAACCATGTTGAGCCTTAGTTTTCTCATCTATGACATGGGGATAATAACCTCTGCCTTACAGAACTGTGGTAAGATAAAGTATAGAAAATAGCCATGTCTTAGCCCCTGGGACTACAAGAACCTCAAAATTCGTTTTTCCCCCTTTAGGGGAAGTGACTCAATAGCGTGCTCACCCCTAACTCTTGCTGCATTTATCCTGATGCAGTACTTCTGGCTTTTCATGTTATTTGCCTCCTTAAACGCTTTACTTCAAATAACATCTATACTCTGTTGGTTTGATTTCAGAAGTTAACATAAGTAAAGGTCTTATTGCAAGTCCGAAATTAGATTTAAAAAAACCCCAAATTTACAATTTTCCTAATTAACACTTAGTGATTATTAGCATTAACAAGAGTCATGCTGTTTAGCTTCCAGTTAAGCATGGTTATCAATAGCATTGATAGTCATTAACCTGCAATAGTATTATATTATGTCATTCACAAATGAGCAATATTGGAATTTGATTCTTTCAAGGCACTTTCTTACTGGTTTTTTCCTCTGTTGTGTGCATGCATACATATGTGTGTATTCCTGTGTGTGTGTGTGCGTATATATATATGTATGTATATATAGTATATGGTGTATCAATATAGTTCTATTCCTCTGCCACCTCCTGCATAGCTGGGGTTGGAGATTGAGAAAGATAAGAAGGCTGCTTGTTGATGCAAAAGAGGAGAAACCATAGCTGAAATCCCCAGTTAGTTTCATTCTGTTTTCTTGGTCAAAGGTTGTATTCCAAACTCTATGCAGTTATTTGGTAAATCCTAGCACTTAATCACGCAAGAGACCAGGTAAGAGCATATTAGACCATCGCGGTTATAGGAAAACAACTCAGAATTCATACTCTCCTAGGGTGGTTTGTGTTCCTCTAAGATTTCTGCTTTGGGGAAACCAAGTGCTTATATATAAGAAAAATGAGGCAGGTTGGCATGTGTTCTGCTCTGTGTAATAGCTATAATAACTGCTTATTTGTCTCAAGACATATTTCAAATTCTGCCTGTGCTCTATTTCAGCACTCGTAGGCCTGGCCGCCAAACCTGCCCACACCACATGAAATAAACCTAACTGTTCTATAATTTTGTCATTGCTGTTGTCTATGGTGTAAGGAACAGACTATACTTACTTAAAATTTCACCCTTTCTTAAGCTGTAGCTGAGAAAAACCATACAAATGAAAATGGCATTCTCAGAGCCACCATGTAATCGAGTGTTAGAGCAGAAAACCACGGGAAGAACCAACTTAATGAAATACCCTTGGCATGAATTTTTCAAAAAAGATTTAAATTAAGAAAATCTTCAAAAACCACTTGTAAATACTTTAAAAATCTGGACCGTCTCCAAACCAAACAGCCAATATTAATCACGCCAAAGATGATCAAGGGTTAGGCATTCCCTCAGGCTTTATCTTTATGACAATGTTTAGCTTCTGGTCCTAGTTATCCCCGAGTCCCGTATGTGAATCACATACCTCAGTAATAATGACCACATTCCAAGAGGTGGGTTTTAAGGACCCATTACACAGATGAGAAGGCCAAAGCCTAGAAAGGCTCGGTGACCAAGGCCATATATAAATATGTGGCCAGAGTTGAAATTTGTGTCTTTGTCTGCCTTCTTTTGGCACCAAGTTGCCCTATTATTCCTTTATTAATGCTGCTCTTTCAGCCAGAAAATTTCTCCTGTCTCTTTTGTATTTATCTAAATCTTAGTCATTGTTCAAGACCCAGTGGTTTCTCACTTCTCTGAATTTCTCTAATAATTATTGTTCGTACCACTCATTGCTACTTATCAGACA